ATGTAATAATAATATTAAAATTAATCTCTATTTTTATATTTTTATATTAATATATAAAAAAAAACCATAAGATTTACCATAAAAATAAATGTTAACCACTTCAAACAAGAAAACTTTGAATTAAAATTTTTAAAAAAATAAAATATCAACCGATTTGATCATTATGATCCAACAACATTGAATTATACCAACGAGGGGTTGAATCAAAGTGGTAAGTGACTTATTTTTTATTTTAGTTTAAATAAGATCTCGAGTTCGAAACCTTGTGTATGTAGTAGCCTTCATTGACAGACTCACCCATCATTTTTAAGTGCGTAACATGGATCAATCTGAAATAATCAAAGTGAAACCCTAAATATCAAACGAGAAACCAAATAAATAAAAAAAGCAACATTGAATTATCATTATTACCAAAAAAAAAAATTGTATTGTCGATTGCACCGCGCGGTGCAATTCCCGAGCCTTCAAACCACTTTTAAAAAGTCAAAGAAAAAAAAAAACTATCTTTCACTGAGAAGAAAATTCTTTTGCAACAGAGTTTTAGCGATTTTTAATAAATTAAAATTTTTGATCTATTTTATTTAAAAAAATAATGAAAAAAAAAGAAGAAAAACTGTCATTATATGTACTCTTTTGTTATTGATTGTGATTAGACTTCACGAACACGTTGGGTGAGAATTGGCTGAATCAAGTCCACTTGTTGGACGACTACCCGTGACCTAATCGTGCAAGATACAGGTTGGATTTGAGTCAACTTGTAATTTTATTTAATTTTTGTTAACTGATATTAAATTTCAATATTTCACACTTCGTATTTCTTTAAAAGAAAATTGTAACCCACCCACTTGTGTTTTTATATTTTTCAATTTATTTAATTAATATTTGAGGAATAATTAATTTACATATACATTTTATAGATTATATTTATATAAAATTTTATTAATTTATTTTTTTTGTTTTTAACAATTAAAATTTATTATATTTTTTACGTAAAAAATAATTATTTTTAATAAATATACATAAATATCAATTATTAAAAATAAAAATAAATAACTAAAATTTTTTATAAATATAATATATAAAATTTATATGTTAATAAACCTTTACTCTTAATATTTTGAATGTTTTACTTAATAATTAATACAAGTGCAAGTGAGCAACAACTTACAATTAATTTTAAAAAATTTTAAAATACAACTTCTATGTGGTTACTTTAGTTTGAAGGAAGAGCATTGACTGCAGAGGGAGACCAGAAGACAGGAGAACGAGGCTTCGACGGTTCGACCGCGTTTTGCCGGATTTCAGGAAGGCAAAAATATGATATAAGGACTCAAACTTACACAAAATTTGCAATTTCAGACCCAAACCTCCATTGCATTTAATTAAGATCCCAAACTAGATGAAATTTTAAAATAAAGTTTTAATTAGATGGAATATTCTCTTGCTGGATGACATATTCTCTTGCCCTCAAATGTTTTCCATGCCCATCAAGCCTCTTAACCAACTAGATTGTCACATGAGAAAATGTGTTGACTTTTCATTACCTCATAGATATTACTAGTGGGTCATAACTCATAAGTGCTTTTGAGGAAAATCCCACTAAAGAGAATCCATGTGGCAATCCAATTGACTAAGAGGGTTGTTGATAGTTAATAGGCATCGAAGACATTTGACCATGAGACAATATTTTATCCAATTGGAACTTTATTTGAGAATTTCATGTAGTTCAAAACTTTAATTGAGCACAATAAAAGTTTGAGTTTGAAATTAAGAATTTTGGGCAAGTTCAAGACCTTTTTTTGTGCTTTTGCCTTTCAAGAACCAAAGGATGAAGTGGCGTGTCTTTAAGGAAGTTTAGTGCTAATTTTTTCTAGGTTAAAAGGCCAACTATCTTGAGTAGAATGTCACGGACCGTGAGCTCGGACGCCCAAGAAAAGGGTCCCAATGCCAGGGTCGCGGTGCAATGTCGTGGACTCAACGGCTTGGCACGCTCACGCGGAGCATCTATATGGCACGGCACGGCCGCAAGCGAGAACGACATCAACACCCAGGCGCGAACTAGAATCGCGCGGAAGTTTCCAGAAGCAACCTGTGAGCAGGGATAAAGACCAAAACAATGGTCTGGAATGGGCTTTCTGGACTTGGGCTGCATGTAGAAAATTCTAGAGCCTTGTACATAATTCTAGAGTAAGGAAAATTCTAGAATTAGGCTAGAAAGGAGGATTTGAGAATGTTCTAGAAAGTGTAAAATATGAGGACTCTTTGGGAATGCTCTAGAACCTCTACCTGGGGTCGCTGGCCTCATCTATAAATAGGAGGAGCCTCAGAAGACAGAGGGTGCTTAGCCAAGCATTCACCTAAGCTCTTGTTAATTTTTCTTGTGTCTAATAAACTCTCATTTTCTCCCAACTTCCAACCTTTGCATTTTAAGCTTCACAAGCCTCTTAGTCCCATAGGTGGACTGTGCCCAGCACCAAGGGAAGGCTGACTTGGTTTGGTTAAGGGGTAAATCCAAGCTAAGTGCCACACGGTGACTAGTTAGAGTCTCGTCCCATGACAAGTGGTATCAGAGCGTAGTTTGACAGCCTAGTTACATGGAGGAGGATCATGACGATGGCAAGCCAAAGGGCTGAGGCTGGCAAAGTTGCAGAGGTTCTAGAGGAGAGGGGTCGTCGAGAGACCCGTGGGGACGCTCAGAAGAAGAGAACGTCCAAGGCATTGTCGCCAGCATTGCGGGATGCATTTACAGCCTATGGGGGGAGGCTGGTCAAGCTTGAGCTAGCCATGGGTGATGTCCATGAGCAATTAGACACTCTTGATTCTCGGATGGAGGAGCAAGAAGACAGGGGCGGCAGTGTCAAAAAGCTTGAAGGCAGCTCCAAGGTGCCCTTAATTCTTTTGTCGTTGACATGCATAAGGCCATGGAGGAGTTTCGTGGGTCCATTGCAACAGAGGTGAGCGCAATAAAGGCGGAGCTTAGTGAGGTCAAGGGGGGCCTAGCCTTGTGCAAGGCTGCCATGGCCGCTAGCGTTGCAGTTGGTGGTGCACCCAACGTGGCACCCAAGCTGAAGGTGCCTGAGCTGCCCAAATATGGAGGTAAGCGCGATTCTAAAGAACTTGATAATTTCTTATGGATAGTTGAAAGCTATTTAGATGCTATGAATATTTTTGATGAGTCTATGAAAATTCGTATGGCAAGCATGTATTTTGAGCATGATGCCACCCTGTGGTGAAGGAGCCGACATGCTAAGATGCAACGAGACTTATGTAACATCAACACTTGGAAGGTGTTCAAGGGGGAGTTTTGTAAGCAATTCTACCCCGAGAATGCTAAAAAGGCGACCATGAAGAAGCTTCGTGTGCTCAAGCATATGGGGTTGATCAAGGACTACATCAGGGAGTACAACTCCTTAATGCTGGAGATCCCCGATATGACTAAGAAGAATCGGCTCCTCTACTTCATAGATGGGCTACAACGGTGGGCCAAGCAAAAGCTGAAGCACCGTGGCGTTCAAGACCTTGTGTCAGCCATGGCGGTTGCCGAATCACTTATCGAGTTCAGCAAGGAACCTCCTAAGAGAGGCAAAGACAAAAAGGGTGGCTCGAGCAAAGGTGGGGGAGACAAACCGCACAAGGCCTCCAAGCCTTTCAAGGGCCCAAACAAGGCAGGTGATGGCAGCAAGACGCAACTCAAAGTGAGGAAGGATTGCTACCTCTGTGGCGGTCCGCACTGGGCAAGGGAGTGCCCGCGGCGGAACAAGCTTAATGCCATCATCTTAGCGATTGGGGAGCCATCCCAAGCAGGGGAGACACGTTTGAGAGCGATGCAAGTCCTCAACGCCATACGGGCTAAGGTGCAAAGCGAGGGTGACGCCAAGGCCCTTGCCACGGCAGAACAGAAGGGTGTCGGTAAGACCCTCAAATACGTTACTATCAAGATCAAAGAGGTAACCGTCCGTGCTCTATTGGATAGTGGCGCTAACTAAAATTTAATTGCAATAAGTCTTGCAGAGAAGCTAGGTCTACCATACAACAAGGAACCAGGATGGGTGAAGGTGGTCGACAATCCTTCTCAACCCATCTGTGGCGTGGCACGCGAAGAGCCCGTGCAGATAGGCTCATGGTCGAGGAAGGTTGACTTGAACGTCATAACCATGAGCGACTTCAAGCTGGTGTTGGGTGGTGAGTTTATCGACTAGCTATTGCCTTTCATCTTCACCAAAGATGGCTGCATATGCTTTAAGGACAAGAACGAGAGTCACAAGGTGCCCCTGGAGCGGTTACCCGCTGGAGACCGCGTCCTATTGGCTATACAAGTATCCAGAGGCATCAAACAAGGTGAGGACACTTATCTAGCTGCTTTAAAGGAATTTATACCTTGTCTCTTGATGTCCCACAAGAAGTTCAAGGCATTCTCCACAAGTTCGAAGATGTGATGCCCTCGGAGTTGCCAAAGAAACTTCCACCACGGAGGGAGGTCGACCATGCCATTGAGTTGGAGCCTGGTTCGAAACCGCTAGCAATGGGTCCATACCGCATGGCTCCACCTGAGTTGGAGGAACTCCAGAAGCAACTCAAAGAGCTACTAGATGAGGGGTTCATTCGTCCCTCTAAAGCACCCTATGAAGCGCCAGTGCTGTTCCAGAAGAAGCATGACGGGACCCTCCGCATGTGCATCGACTATTGGGCACTCAACAAGATCACGGTGAAGAACAAATACCCTATTCCTTTGATAGATGACCTGTTTGACAAGCTTGGGAAGGCACGATGGTTCTCCAAGCTCGACTTGAGGTCGAGGTATTGGCAAGTGAGAATAGCCGAAGGGGATGAGGTAAAGACCATCTGTGTGACGCATTACGGTGCATATGAGTTCTTGATGATGCCTTTCAGCCTCACAAATGCTTCAGCTACTTTCTACACATTGATGAACAAAGTTGTTCACCCATTCCTTGACCAATTCGTGGTGGTCTACTTGGGCGACATTGTTGTCTACAACGAGACATTAGAGGAGCATGTGCAGCATCTTCGACAAGTTTTCCAAGTGTTGCGCAAGAATGAGCTCTATGTGAAACTGGAGAAATGCTCATTTGCACAACAAGAGGTGTTGTTCCTAGGCCATTGGGTAGGCCATGGGAAGATATCGATGGACTCTGCCAAGGTGCATGCCATCCAGGAGTGGGAGCCTCCCAGCTCAGTCCCCGAGCTGCGATCAGTCCTTGGCCTAGTCAACTACTATCGTCGATTCATCTAGGAGTATTCGGAAAGGGCCACACCCTTGACAGACTTGCTTAAGATGAAGGTCTCGTGGGAGTGGACAGCAAAGTGTCAATGAGCCTTTGAGGACTTGAAGCAAGCGGTGAGCCAAGAACTAGTGCTCGCATTGTACGACTATGGGAGGCCTTTCGAGATGCACACTGACGCATTTGACTTGGCGATCGAAGGAGTCTTGATGCAAGACGGCCATCCCATAGCGTTCGAGAGCCGCAAGCTCAATGACACGGAGAGGCGATACTCGGTGCATGACAAGGAGATGAACCCCATCGTCCATTGCTTGCGGGTATGGCATCATTACTTGCTTGGGAGCAGGTTCGTGATTAAGACTAATAATGTAGCTACGAGCTACTTCCAAAGGCAGAAGAAGCTCACGCCTAAGCAAGTAAGATGGCAAGACTTATTGACCGAATTCAACTATGTGATGGAGTACAAGCCTAGGCGAGCTAACGTTGTGGCAGACACGCTAAGCCGCAAGGCTACGTTCACCTCCATCAGTCGACCTGAGAGTGACATATTGGATCGTGTCAAGGAGGGCCTGGCACATGATCCCTTCGCCAAGAGTCTTATGGAGCTGGCTCATGTAGGCAAGACGCAATGGTTCTGGTGTAAGGATGGTGCTCTATATACTATGGGGAATCGCCTATATATCCCAAAGTAGGAGAGTTTACGACGGGAGCTAATGAAGGAGTGCCACGACTCGAAGTGGGCTGGACATCCAGGAATCAAGCGCACCATGGCACTGATGGAAGAATTATATTATTGGCCAAAGATGCGGGATGATGTTGAGGCCTATGTAAGGACATGTCTAGTGTGCCAGCAAGACAAAATTAAGCAGCAGCAACCTGGGGGCCTCTTGGAGCCCCTGCCAACCCCAGAATGCCCATGGGAGTGCGTCACCATGGACTTCTTCTCAGCTCTCCCACAGTCTGAAGGGTACGGGTCTATACTGGTCGTAGTTGATCGATTCTCGAAGCATGGAACCTTTATCCTAGCCCCACGGGATGGCAAGGCAGAGGAAGCAGCATGCTTATTTTTCAAGCACGTGGTGAAGTATTGGGGGCTTCCTCGCATCATCATTAGCGATCCAAATCCGAGGTTCACGAGGAAGTTTTGGAGGGAACTCTTTAAGCTCATGGGATCAAACTTCCACTTCTCTACGAGCTTTCATCCGCAGACGGACAGGCAAACGAAGCGAGTGAACACACTACTAGAGCTATATTTCCGGCATTTTATGAGTGCCAATCAACATGATTGGGCAAAGTTGTTAGACGTGGCGCAATTTTCCTACAATCTGCAGTGGAGTAAGGCCACCCAACAAAGCCCCTTTGAGATCATGACAAGCCAACAACCGTTGCCACCTCACTATGTGACACGAGGTTACATTGGTGTAAGTCCTGCTGCATATAACTGGGCAAAAGATTGGCAGGAGCAGCTGGATGTGGCTAAAGTTTACTTGGATCAGGCCTCCAAAAAGATGAAGAAGTGGGCAGACCAAGAGCGACGACCGTTGGAATTCTAAGTGGGTGACCTTGTGATGGTGAAGCTACTAGTCCAGCAGTTTAAAGCCTATCGACAGGTCCACAAGGGGCTGGTGCGTCGATATGAGGGACCCTATTCGATTCTTGGAAAGGTAGGAAAGGTGTTTTACCGTGTCAATCTTCCACCAAAGCTGAAGATACACCCGGTATTTCATGTGAGCATGCTCAAGCCATTCCATGGAGACCATGAGGATCCAGTGTGAGGAGTGTCACAACAAGCGCCACCAACGACAATAACCTCGTATGACGAGCAAGTGAGTGAGATCTTAGCTGATCGGGTCATTCGGCAGCGAGGAGTTCCCAACCACACAGAGTACCTAGTCAAGTGGAAGGATCAGCTCAATGACGAGGCCAACTGGGAACGCGAGGAGGACTTGTGGTAGTTCTTGAGCGCCATCGAGGTCTACAAGACCAAGAAGCTTGACGAGGGTGTCAAGAGCTTTGGTGTGGGAGAGTGTCACGGACCGCGAGCTCGGACGCCCAAGAAAAGGGTCCCAATGCCAAGGTCGCAGTGTAACGTCGCGGACTCAACGGCCTGGTGCGCTCACATGAAGCATCTAGATGGCACGGTCGCAAGTGGGAACGACATCGACACCCAGGCACGAACTAGAATTGTGTGGAAGTTTCCAAAAGCAACATGTGAGCAGGGATAAGGACCAGAACAGTGGTCTAGAATGGGCTTTCTGGGCCTAGGTTGCATGTAGAAAATTCTAGAACTTTGTACATAATTCTAGAGTAAGCAAAATTCTAGAATTAGGCTAGGAACGTCGCGGACTCAACGGCCTGGTGCGCTCACGTGAAGCATCTAGATGGCACGGCCGCAAGCGGGAACGACATCGACACCCAGGCAAGAACTAGAATTGTGTGGAAGTTTCCAAAAGCAACCTGTGAGCAGGGATAAGGACTAGAACAGTGGTCTAGAATGGGCTTTCTGGGCCTGGGTTGCATGTAGAAAATTCTAGAACTTTGTACATAATTCTAGAGTAAGCAAAATTCTAGAATTAGGCTAGGAGGGAGGATTTGAGAGTGTGCTAGAAAGTGTAAAATATGAGGACTCTTTGGGAATGCTCTAAAACCTCTACCTAGGGTGGCTGGCCTCATCTATAAATAGGATGAGCCTCAGAAGGCAGAGGATGCTTAGCCAAGCATGCACCCAAGCTCTTGTAAATTTTCCTTGCATCTAATCAACTCTCATTTTCTCCCAACTTCCAACCTTTGCATTTTAAGCTTCACAAGCCTCTTAGTCCCTTAGGTGGACTGCGCCCAACACCAAGGGAAGGCTGACTTGGTTTGGTTAAGGGGTAAATCCAAGCTAAGTGCCGCACGGTGACTAGCTAGAGTCTCGTCCCGTGACAAGAAGGTCAAATGGGTTATTAGAATGGTTCGATCTACATGGTTAAGTTTGGATAGATTGGCTTGTGACCCATATTAATCAAGTAGGTTGGGTTAATTTATGTCAATGCAAAACATGATTTTTTTTTTTTTTTTGGATCGGGGTTGATTATGAATTAATTTCTTTTAAATGTTCATTTGAAATTGGAAGTAAGTTTGCATAAATCATTTTCTCAATAAGGCCTAACTATACATCTAAAATAAAGTATGTGATGTTGTAATTTGATTGAACAAAAATCTTTTCTCCCTTCTTTTTCCCTCCCACTAAACAAACTCTAAATTTAGTAAAAAAGAAAAATATTGCTTTCATCGATATTGCTAACGTTCAAAAGGGATGAGTTTTTAAAAATTAATTTATGTTTTGGGTCCTTCCTAATAGGACTAAGGTTACAACTAGGGACTTGGTGAAGTGTCACTCACTTTAAGAAAAGCTAACATCTCACTCATCCTCAATGTGCTTTTACCTTTATCATTTAGTACCCTAGTAAGGGAATAGATTAAGCACAGCTTGTTATCACTACATTTGAAGGTAGTACTAATAACCCCAACACTCTTCCCCTCATCTCTTACCTACTTAGCTCTCAGCCAATCCCCATACATGCCTTTACTAGGATCTTGTGCCCACATAAGTTTTTCCTCCCCACAAATTAATTCAGAATGCCCCAACCTTCCACAATTACAACAAAAGTCAAAGATCTTTCATATTCTAAGGATCTCCATTTTTTATTCCTTAGACTCCAATTGAGACCAAATCTAACTATTAAAGGTTTAGTAACATCAACTAAAACCTTACAACAAAAGAAACCTCTCTACAAAACATTATTAGTTCTAAGGTTTTTAGCTTTAATCAAAATTCCAATAGTAGACAAACTAAGCATTACCCTATGTCAATTAGTCTATATTTAGATTATGAGCTTGAATCTAGTAAGGAGCAAGGGAAAAATCCAAATTCGAAAGTAAGGTACCCACCTCCCATCATTTTAGGTTGCATAGAAAACCCTCAATAGCCCAAGGAGCATTATCCAACAAATAATTAAGATCATTCTCATTCATGAAAGAAAAAGTGTAAAGATTTTCCTCAACTTCATTTACTTAAAAATAACAAGGGTTAGCTTATGCTTTTCCAAGCATCTCATACACCTTGTTGCGATGAATTGGGTTGATCGCAACAACCTGCCCAACCATCATGAAAGGCTTTTTCTCTTTTGATATTTCCTAAGATTTAAGACCTCTAACAAAAGGTGTTGAAGCCATGTGTAAGAGACAACAAATGAAGGATTTAGTAGGCAAATTATGCAAAAACAACAAGAAAACAAAAGGATTTGATTTGATTTTGAGATTTTAAGGCTTTTAGGTATTTGATTTTTAGGGTTTTTCTTTTGGGAGAAAACAGGAAAATAAAGGAAATAGAAATCTAAGAGACAAAGAATAAGCTCTACAAGACTCGATGGCAAGTCTCCATATTGAAGCAATGCTCTACCTCCTTAGAGCGATTTATTTGAATCTAACTAAAATAGTAATTGGTGAATTTGAATTAACAGTATGGAGGGTTGATTTAATTAAATAATTGATAAAATTAAAATTAACTTTTATTTTTATAATCGAGCAGGATCTATTTACGACATAAGTTTTACATACCATATTTATATAAAATTTTGAATATTTGTTTTTTTCATTTTTTGTGGTTGAGATTTATTCACTTTTTGTCATATTTATTAAAGATAATTATCTTTTTATCTAAAAGGTCATCATAAATCTCAACTATTGAAAATGAGAAGATAAATCATCAATATCTTGTATAAACATAATGTGTAAAATTTACGTATAAGTGAATTATCATTCTTTTAGATAATTAATAAAAAAGAACAATTAATGTACATTTTAATAAAAAAAACCATTTAAAATTTTACTCCCTTCCATATTTTTTACTTGTTACAAACCTGCAATGGTTACTAAAAGATGATGATTTCAAGATAAAGAATGTAGTCACATATAAATTTTATATATTATACTTACATAAAAGCTTAACTATTTATTTTTTAACTTTCAATAGTTAAGATTTATCATATTTTTTAAATAAAAATAATAATTATCTTTAATATATGTAAATAAATCTTAACCATTGATAATTGAGAGATCCATAAATGATTAAAATTTTGTATAAATATAATATATAAGATTATATAAATGGATCCATACTTTGATTTCATATTTCCATTAGTTTGTCATCCTTTTATTTTCAACAAAACATATGTTTTTATTCTTAAATTTTATTCTTAAATTTACCCATATACAAAAAAATAAAAAATAAAAAATCCACAATATATAACCTTCTTTTATTATAAAGAAAAAAAATGTGTTTATTTTAAATTTACCCGTATGCCGAAAATACTCAACAATAATCTCAAATGCTTCGACGAAACACTCTACAATAACCTCATGCTTGGACACAAAGGTTATAATGTGCATTAAATATATTTTCTCCGTTATCATGTAAGTTTAAACTATAACAAATTTTTTTTTACTATTAAGAAGTTTTTATGTTAATTTTTATATACTTTAAAAATATATTTTTTTAATGATCGAATTGTAAAAATATATTTTCACATTTTGATATATTTAAAAAAATTACTTTTATTAAATATTAATTCTAAAACTTAAATTTTAAACTTAATTCATAATTTATAAAATGATATTTATTTATTAATAAATTTAATGTTTAAAGATTAAACTATAACAACCCAATGGAAAATTGATGGAGCTTATTTTTTTTTTGAGAATAGAGAGATCTTAATAAAAATCTTTGTTCCTAGAAAAGACTTAGCGATCAAAGTATGATTTTTCTTGTTCAAAAAAAATAATAATAAAACTGAAACTAAAATATAAAATATGGTATCGATACAAGTCATGACACATTTTCTTCATTAATCATGTGATAACCTGATACGCGCTATGACTTTACGAAAGAAAAATGTTAGATGCCAACGATAATTATCATTACTGTGATTAAAGCCTAAAGCAATGGGTATCAACGTTAGCCACCATAATTATGTTGTTGAATAAGAGCCACGCAACAAAGTTGATTTTTTAAGGATTTTTCTATTTTGTACCCTTAGAATATAAATTAATATTATAAAAAATTTATTTTTATAATTAATTTTTATTAAAAGTATAAATATTAATTTTGATTTAATTAATTAAGTGATTAAAGTTATTTATGTTTTAATAATATTAAAATATATGTTAATTTTTATAATTATTTATGTAAATTAATCATAAAAAATACATTTATTACATCTTTAGTTATACTCTAATGCTCTAGATTAAACAAATCTATTTTTAATGACTGATAGTAAAAGTGATATTATTTAATATCAAAATTAATTTCTTATCAAAACGATTTTAAAAAACAACCTCCATATTGGTTTAATATGTTTAAAGATTAAAAATTTTAGTTATATATAAGTTTTATATATTATATTCATATAAAATATT